CCCCCCCCAAGAAAAAAAAAAAGTACCCCACTGCTGTCTAGCTCCTCTGTTTAGAAGCAGGAGTTAAATCGTGCAGTGCTAATTGCCTTGCCTCCTAGATTTGTGTTACAGATGTTCTCTAATGTGTGAAGTTCTTCATTGTATGATCCCAGGTTATTTTCCTTCATTTGGTATTTTCGGTTGCTCTCACGATTGGAGTTCTTCTTGATGTTCACCTGCTTTCCACCTGTGTTTCCCTTCTGACCATTGGTGACATTCAGCCTCATCTTGACTCTTCCTTTTTCAGAAAAGAGTAAATATGTGATACTAGCTTTCTGCCTTAATTGCAGTGTTTTCTTTGACGGCTTTCTTCAAGGTCTGACCTGCCATTTCAGGATAACCAGCTGCTCCAATTGCACTTGCTTCTCTCTTTAGTTAGCTTTCCTTTATCCCCACCATTTCCTACTCCTGCCCAGACCTGCGTTAAAGTTTCCTTCTTTATCTTAATTTTTCTCAAGGGCTTGATGGGCACAACCTTTCCCTGTTTCTCCATCTCCTTCCTACCTCCACACTTCATTCTTCTGTTCTTGATAGGGTTTTTTCTGGAGCCACTCATTCACTTTCCGCTGTCCTTGACCGATGTAATTCCTTCCCGCATTGCAAAGCCATTTGGTCGCTTCCCTGCCCTTCAGAATCTTTCTGAAGCTCCTCGGTTGGAACCTGTCTATCAGTGAGCAGTGTGGAGGACCGTATAGGATTTTCCTTCAGTGAAGATTAGCTCCACATCAGGTGCACTTGCACAGCAAGGGGACAGTTTTTTAGACACAAGTGATCTGCTAGGTTGGAGCATGGGCATGAGCTGTTGGAGTTGCCTGGGACAATGGACTTGTCTCCTTACCGCAAGGACAGGAATGTTGCAGACTTAACATGTAGGAAGCTTCATTCTGTGGGACATGATCGATTTAAAAGGAATTTTGAAGTCTGGCCTAATAATTATGATTACTTTTAAAAATTACATTGTATTTTCAAATCCCTGTTGCCTATGCCAAAGCTCCATGCAGGACAGCATGAGCTGTGCCCTCTATCCCCACCCACAGTAATGTGCGTGTGATGTGCGAACTTTAACGGAGCTCTTTATATGAGGATGGTGACACTTACTACCAATGTAGCCTGCTATGTATCTACAATTTTTTTATGGTTTATAACTGCTCTATCTGCATAGCAGCCCTACAGGCACTTGGAAAGAGGTGAATATTTTCAGAATTAGTAGTAGGTCTGCAGCGAGTCAGCAGCAACACCTGGATTATAGCACTCAGAAATTTGCCAGGCTGTACACTTAAATTTTTGCTGAGCTCCTGTTTTCTTCTATTTTTTTTGTTTTTAGCTGGTCTTGCTGATGGACACATGTGTGCACTCCCATTTATATCTTCACTGTTGCAGGTCTGTTGTCCTGTGCCTCAGACGTTATGAGCCAATTAAGTAAGCCCAAGGACGTGATGTGAAAATTGTTTGTGATTATGTAGTTTAATCCATTTCTTACAACTCATATTTGTAAGAGGACAATTTGAACTTTGACGTTTCCTTATTCTCACGTTTCCCCTTCCTTCCTTAATAACCCTTTGCTGTGGTCCGGGTGTGGGTATAGTTTGATTCTGTTGGTTGCAAGTAGTTGCTCGACACAGATTAAAAACACAGCACCCTGCATAGTAAATAATCCCGTACACACTGTGTGGGATCAGACGAGACTCCGCTGGATCCCTGTCCTCTTCCAGAAGGAGTTTAACAGCTCTCGTTCCCCCCACAACTGCATGCTGAAAATAAATCCCAGCTCTGCTTTCTCATGCAAGCTCAAACAATTCTTGGTGTCTGTCTCTTGGAAGTGTTCTTTTGGTGTTTCTGTTGCACACGTGCCCCAAGCCAGAAAAGGGCTCGCAGATAAATATTTTTATCATGCATGCAAACAAATGCTTGCTTTGAAATTTCAGAAACGAACTGAGTGAAAACCTGTTTTCATCAGGCAGCCGAGAGTCTCCTAGACAACCTGCCAAGTGCTGAGTTCCTACCATTTCTCTCGGAGGCAATAGAAGTGATCCAGAAGGGGCACAAATTTTTTAGAACAGAAAAAACCACATCACTTTCCACCCCGCCTCTCATTTTTCACCAGTGAAACAGATATGTATATGCTAAAGTCGTCCAAAAAACGTTTTACATCCAGCTGAGGGGAAAATGTGCGCCAGACTTGTGGTGTGATAGGTAAGAGTCTGGCAGAGTTGCAGAAGTTTAAAGATGACCCTTTGGAGTGAAAGCAGTTGTCCAAACTTAACGACAGCTGCGGTTTAGAGTATTGCTTGTTTAATTAAGTTAGCTTTATAAAATACGGCAATTACTCTGGTGTACATTCAGAATTTAAAAGCAACAATTATACTAATTGAGGCAATCTCAATAAAAGACTCTGCCCCCCCAAGTGTAAACCCGCAATCATGGTATAGTGTAATCCTCCCAGCCTTCACCAAGAGCATGAGGAAATCGATAGGTTTTGTTGTGTGTTTCGGAGGTAATCAAATCCCCGGGCTGCTTGACCAGGGTGGGGAAGAATGAGTTCCTCAACCAGGGTCTGTCTCCAAGCACGTCTTGGCAGCTATCCTGCGTTGTTTAAAGCATGAGGACTGTTAGCTGAAGGTTAATTGCAGCTGCTGAGGACTAACATGAAAAACCAGACCCAGGGCTGGGCTGTCTGTAAGAGCAGAGCCGTGTCCGCGGCGTTCCTGGCACAGCATCGGGCGGGTGTCTGGTTGGAGCGCAGGATGGATCCGGGTGGTGTAGCCTCCGGAGAGCTGCTCCATGCCCAAGGTTTCCCATCGCAAAGCACCGAGGGCGTGTGGGAGGTGGTGGCAGTGGTGCCTGGGAAGTCATTCTCTGGAGAAAAGCTTTGTAGCTGTTTTCATGGCTTTTTGTGGCTTTTTGCGGCCACAGCTGGGACAAGATCTGACTCGCGGTCGCTCAAGATTCATATCCTCTCCTGTTGAAACATCATGGGGTGAAAGGGTGAGTAAAATGCAAACTAAGAGATTGGGGGGGCGGTTCATTTGTTCAAAATGCAAAGAAAAAGCTGGCTTCAAGGAAATGGATGAAGACTGCAGAAGGCCGTGTATAAAGCAGTGGGAGAGGCGAGGTGGTGTGGCGATACGAAGGTCAGGTTTTGTGCAGAAAGAGGCACAAAGGAAACAGGGTAAAAGCCAACTAGTTCATTGGGGTGGAGGTTGAGCGAGGAGGGGGGAGGGTAATATGGAGTAAGCAAGCTCAACAGGCAACGCGAAGCCTCGAAGATAAGAGTATCAGGACTTAAGAGCTCTTAGAAAGCAAGAAACTGCTCACATTAGGAGCGTGGATGGCAAGCTGAGCCATAGACTAAGATACAAGCCGTGATGGGTCTAGAAACAGGAGTGAGAAATATGTTTTGCCCTCCTTTATTTTGGCGGGATTTAATTCATTTTCTTGGTGTCTTTGTGTTAGAGCCAAGGACAAAGCTCGTGGTGCATGAGCTGGGAGATGAGAAAGGTGCAAAAGCATCTCAAGCGTAGTCCTTTCTAACCAGGCAATGCTTGCTGTGATGTTTGTGATATATATTTGTTTCAGTAAGTAGTAGCTTTTTCCTTGAATGTGTTTTACTTGCAACACAGAATGAAGTTCTCCGTCTACTCATACTTCCATTCAGTTACGGGTGTCACGTGGAGGGGAGGGTAGTGTTGATACCCTCCTAAAGGGCATGGAGCTTAAACGTCTTGGTGAGGCCACCTACTTTAAACGGGAGCAGCCCTTCCCCATCCCACGGAGCTGAAGCTGCTCGCATTCACGGAGGAGCTGGCGTGTTATTGCAACAGGCTGCCGTTCTCCTGGTGTCTTCACGTAACGCCAAGAAATAAAAAATGCTATTTCTGTACATCCCCTAAATGTAGCAGCTGAAAATGGGTCAGTACGTCTTGTTCAAAGGAAAAGAGTTGGCATATGGGTTAGGGGGAAGCTGTAAAAGCCTGTAAGGGGGGACTGAGGCAGGCTTACCACAAACGAAAAAGGAAGACAGGATAAAAGTTCAAGGGGGATTTGCCAGATATTTCCATCCCTTCTGGGTCTAGCATTTTTGTGATTATTGCCTCTTTAATGGGATGCTGTATTTTTGCCTCATCATCAACCTCAGGAAATGCTAGGTGGTGGAGTAGAATGCGGAGAAAATGAAAGAGGAACTGGTGAGCAGAAATGCCAAAATCGGGAGAGGCAGAGTGCACCAGCGCTCCTGCCGTGCTTTGATTTCTGCTGCCTTATGCCTCAAACGCTTTTATAAAGTGATTTCCTGTGCGCTTTGCAACACGTGATGGAGACTTATGCTGAAGGTTTGAGACCAGAAAAATCCCTCCAGTTTGTTCTGTGGACTGTGCTTCAGAGGTGGAGGACCTGGAGTCCCCATGCCCCCTGTGTGCTGCACCCCGGGATGCTCTGGCTGGGCCAGGCTGCAGCCCGAGACAGCGGTGTGGTGCAAAAGCAGGCACTGCTTGGCTGGAAGTGCCGATGCCTTTGAAGCATCTTGTCTCTAGCACTCCCCTGCAAAGTAAAAGCAGCACATGGCAGTGGTTTCTGAGCGGCAGCAGCTCTTGGGAGCGAGTGGCAGAGTTTGACCTCTTCAGAACAAGTTTTCCATTTGAAAGTCTATTCTTTTTAGGAGTGTGATTTCTTTTTTCCCCCTTTTTTTTCCTTTAAGCTATCCTTTTTTTGTTGTTGTTCTCATTAGAAACTCTGCTTCTCCAAGAACGTGGAAGTCTTAAAAAAGCAACTGGCTTTGACAAAGCCAGGGTGAAGGCTGTGCAGGAGGTGCACATGTTCCTGCGGGGGCTGCGCAGCTGAGGCTCGTGTTTTGGGTGACCCTGGGACCTCTACAAGAGGAATAATCCTGTCGTTCCTTCTGTAGGAAATAACCCCCCCAAAATGACAACTCCTTTTAAAGTGTTTTAGTCCAAATCATGACAAAAAATCGTGAAGTAATTCTAAGCCATATAAAACACTAATTGTTGTTGTTGTTGTTGTTTTGGAGGGAAGCTTTGTTTCTGAAGCAAAGCAGTCCTTATTTCTAAATAACTCCTTCCCCTCTCTCATGGTCACCTCTCGACTTACCCCCTACCTCAGCACTTTCTCGACTCGCAACATATTGCCCCTGCCAGCATTTTGGAGGCAGTCACAAGCTTCCAGTTAAAAAGCTGAGGTGTTTTTTCCGCTGCCAGGAGTTGGCTGCCTTCTCTGGTATGCCTGATACCCCCCGGCGTCATCTGCCTGCCAGGGAGCACTCGTTCCTGTGCAAGAGGCCATGGCATGGTCCTTGTATGCCCGAGATTTAGCATCTCCAAGGAGCACTTCATTCTTACAAACATATTTTCCATCGCAAATGGGTGATGGCAACAAAAGATAAGCCCCAAAGGTATGCTGGACCCCTATGACAAAAAAGGGGAAAGGATCCCCAATTTGGAAAGTGTGAAGTTGGGTCCTGCTAAAATCAGTGAAAGCTTTGCCATGATCTTCAGTGAAGCCAGGGGTTTGACTTCAGTGTGCATCTGCCCTTCTGGGTTTCAGCTGGCAACAAAAGCAGGGGTGAGCATATTTGGTACAGTACTTCCAGCTCAACGTGCATCATCATATAAGAAAACAATTTTCAACTGTATAATCTCATGGGATTTCTGAGATGAGTGTTAGAGCAGAAAGTCTGTAACTGACTCTTTAATTACTCGAAGGTTCAGTTTGGAAAGCAGTGTTTTGGGAGATCTTTTTAGGTTAGCTTAATAATTGTGGAGGGGATGTGTCGGGGGTGGTTTGGGGGACATGCATTTTCAACAGTGAATCACTTTATAATGGCTTATAACTGAAATCCTGAATATTCAGTAGTCGAGCAATACCTGTGTAATTTAGCAAATCCTCTGCAGTAGTATTTTTAAAACACAAAAAAATCTAAAGATAACTTTGTATGTCAAGCTAATATTTTGAATAAGAGATTAAACCAAAATCTGTTTTACGATGAATTTTTTCACATAAGAACCCGTTTTAGTTTTTTGCTCACTGTCTTTATGATTTGCTAAGGAAAAAGAAAAGTTCTTTAATGAGAGTTAAGCAGTTAATCAGTGATTTCACCACTCCTTTTTTTTCCTCTTTTAGTGCATTCGTGGAAGAAAAGCAACTCTAGAAGAGCTGCAGACAGTTCACTCGGAAGCCCATACGCTGCTGTACGGCACAAACCCTCTGAACAGACAGAAACTGGACAGCAAGAAACTTCTAGGTATCGTTCCTGGTGGGGGGGTCCCCATCCTGACCTCCAGCACTCCCGCTACTGTTGTCAGCCCTGACTCTGGCAAACACTTAGCAGTACCAGTATGAAAGGTGGGGCTCCCTCCATCCTCAGCTCTAAGTAGTTCCCAAGAGGATTCTTCCCACCTCTGTTCAATGTCTGCTTGAGATACATCTCCCTTTCTTCAGGTAGATCCCTTATCCCTAGATAGCTAAAACTTCCTTTCTTTGATGTCTTCAAAACTTAAAAGGACCCTCTCTGAGGAGGAAGGATAATTCAGAGTCTATTTTATCCTTGGACACTCTTCTCTGCATGTTAGAAAGTTATCCATTGCTAGGTAGGGACTGGAACACCCTACTAAGGACCTGGATCTGCAGCACCAACCAGCTGCATAGACATCAACAAATAGCTGTCAGTTTTGTATGGATAATCTACAAGAAAGATGTGGGGACCTTTTAGATAGTTTTACATTTGTTTAATTTGGAGTAAGATTGTTTATCCCTTTCACTGGAGACTGGGTCTTCCTGAAACAGGACTGCATCTGCTGTAAAATATAGGCATTTTCCCTGCAGAAAATCTAGGGGGTGGTTGTTCAGATATCCAACCCCCACAATAGCAACCGAACCACATTGATTTTAGCATGTTACCTCCGTGGAGACATCATCATCTCCCTTTACTTTGTGTCTTTTTGCAGCAGTAGGTGATAGGCTGGAGGGGCAGTTTGGGAAGTTCTCACGTGGGGATCAGTGAAAAGACAGTTCTGGAACCTAGAAGTTGAGAAAGTTTATTTTGGGATTAGCCTGACTTCGGATGATATAAAAAGAGGATTAACTTGATGGCCTGCATGATGTAGTAGTCGCAGCAGAAGAGCTGGAAAGATTTTGCAACATATTCAGTATGTACATTAGATCCCCAAAGAGGAAAGCTATTAGCCAGTTGTTTAAACATGCAATTAGCACTGTATTTATAGCTAACTTACCACCTCTTTAAAACCCCGAGAAATGAAAAGTAGACACCTCTGGCTGAATGATAGCGCAATTAGTATGTACAGTTTAAAGAATGTATGATGTCATATCCTTGGTAGTGTAAAACTTTCGCCTTGCGTATGGCGTATCCATCAGTCCAAAGAAACAGTATGTAAATCTTCCCCAGTAGGTCTGAGAAGGCTCCTCGTTTGCAGTTGCACCACCTTCATGCTGACTGATTTCTCTGCAAGTTCTTGACCCGTAGTGCTGAAGGTGTGTGAGGACATGAGTCGTGACCGTGTGCTGTGGTGGGATCCAGGCAGTCCTTCAGCATCTGACCTATTGGCTTCACCAGCCTGGATCAGGCAGGGTTACCACCCTGCCACTGGCAGTGGTCATCATCTGCATGGGGGGGCTGAGCAGGGCAGTGGGTCACCCTACCCCTTCTCCTTTAGGAGATACCCCTTGCAAGAGACGTTTTTAGAGTGGACTGTGATAACACTGCATGGTGCCTGCTCATTCAAATGTCAGATGCTCTTGAGATACTTTTCCGTTCCCTCTGACTCTTGCACAATCTGTATCAGTTCCACAGATACATTTGGAGATACAAACAGTTTATTTGGTTCGTATGGGATTTGGGGATACCCAGGTTTTGCTGAACTGTTCCTAGTGGTTTGTTTAGAGAACCCGAGGGAGGAGAAACTCTTGCACTGCCTGTGAGTACTTCTGTAGTTGTGCTGTGTCCCCCCCATGTCTTTTCTGCAGAGATTAAGTTTATTCCTTTAGTGAAGAGAAACAATTCTAATATCTGAGGGTATTTCAGTACAAAACATTACCTATTTGGGTGTAATTTGCAAAGACGACCAAGTTGTCGAGGAGCAATATTCAAGGCAAATCAATTTTAAGACTAACCTGTTTGTGGATGTTAGAGTGGAGCTTGGTTGGGGCTACACCTGGGGCTCTAGCCATCCCCCAAAACACTGCCAAGTAGGTTTTTTTTAACGTTCTGAGGCTGCAGCCATAAGCGGGAGGTCAGGTCCCCAGGATCTCCAGTGGGAACAGCTTTCCAGTATCTCTTAGCTGAGCTTAGACCTTGTTTCCTAAACCCACTTGGCACCTTTTTAGCCTTGAGCTACTAGCACTGCAACTCTCTGCCAGCTTGCATGACCATCTTTGCCCGGACAGCAGTGGACTGCCTCTTCCCACTGCCCAGCTGTCCTCCCATTGCACGTGGAGCTGTGCATGAGCCACAGCTGGCACTGACACTCATGCCAAGCACCAAGCTTGGAGGAAGAGCAAGCAGCTTCACCATTCAGCATGGCTGCCAGTCATCCCACCAGGCAGGAGAAAATAAGTTAATGGCTTGACAGCCGGGGGTCCAGAGGAACAGCACGGTGAGCCAAAATGACAAGAGGAGTGAGCCTGGCTGGGATGTCTGCATAGCATCCAGGGAGAAGTTCTCCTTTGGGAGCAGGGCAGGAAGGGCGATGGTGGCCCTAAAATCAGTTTCTTAACTTCATGGCTTCCACAGCGCTGGACCTGAGCAAGGGTAACAGCCACTGATGTGTTGGGAAAACCTCCCTGAAAAACCTTGGTGTGCGCATTTGTGTATGGAGGTGAGCAAGCCTGTAAGGAGCCCCTTCTTCAGCCATCCTCTCCTGTTGAGAGTTGAAGAGGCTTTTAAATTTACAAAACAGCTTTGTGGGGTTCATTTAAATATGTTAGAGGGTAAATGTATGGCAGGTTTGAAGTCTGAGAGCGAAGCTTCCTGTGAGGCTCACATATGCAAATGTGAGTTTGTTAGACTTAAGTGTCTTGATGTGTACGACTGGATGGGTGGCTGACGCCGTGTAAACTCTTTGTCTTTGATATGTCTATGAGGAAGAAAAAGCATGAGAAACCTCAGCCTAAAAGGAAGAGCTCATAAAGCTGCGGGATGAAAACACGGGATGTTTCTTTTTAAGCTTCTGCAAATGATAAGGGGGATGTCCCTTCATCTGGCAGTTCTTTAGGAGAAAGCGGGAAGGGGCTAAATAGTTCAGGTTTTTCAGAATTGTAAGCGGGCGTCAATGTGGCTCTTGGTTACTTTTACTTCTGCAGTTGTCCTGTAGCTCGTTAATTCTGAGTCTTACTCCTTTCTCAAAGAGTGCCCTTCTTTACACGTGTAGGAGAAGAGACTTGCAACGAAAGCCCACCACTGATGTTGAAGTTACGTTCCCCAGAGGACCCTGAGCATCACAAAGATCTGCTTTGCTGTGTTTTATCAGGCAGGTTTGAAGGTGGTGGCCTTCAAGGCAGGTTGCACAACTCTACCCCTGGAAGTGTTGCTAAAGCCCTTGAAAGTCTGAGGATGAAAAATAGGAATCCATCTCTCGTTTGACAGTGTAAAGCTTTGGAACCTGTTAAACAAGTTTAAACTTAGGCAAATAAGGCTGCTTTTAATTTGTGGAGAGCAATCATAAATTGTTGTCAAGAAGATAAATATCGAAATAATGGGTGGATTAGCAGTGAAAGATGTGACAGGAGGTCCGAGGCAGGATGATCTAAGAACTTTCATGTGGATCTAATCAAAGAGTGAATCTGGCTGTGCACTCGGATTAATAATACAGATGCATTAACTCCGCTTTCAGTCACAGGGGTAACGTATGTGTCTGCGATGCGTTTGACACCAGCGTGGTCCTCAGTAATGTCTGTCTGCCGTCATGGCTAATTCACGCTCTACAAAGCTGGTAGTTGGCATTTAAGGGAATTTATTCTTTCAGTATAGACATAACCAGAACAAGAACCTGGTTTGGTGGGGGAAAAAAACCTCAACCCAGTTTATTTCACCGTTAGCTTTCATTAACTTTAAATAGGTCTCAAGCAAATGAATCTCAGGCAATGTACTCCAGATCTTTTACGGTGCCTGCATGCACAGATTTCCTTCTCCCTGTTTGCCGGCAGTGCACAGACACATGTACAAGTCGTGCACGTAGGGTGGTGATGGATATGAGACAGCACGTTCTTTTTTCAGTATACGGTTTATAAACCTGCAGAATTTTGGATGGAGGATAATTTGCTCATATGCAAGCCCAGAAAGTGATGTTACAATTCTTACAGATGCAAAATTACCCCTACAGATGGTTTTCTCCATTTTTTTCAAGTTCTTAATGTTGGGTTTGCTCTTTCAGTCAAAACACATGTTCTGTTTGCTCACCACCGGTTTATTTTTTGTCTTTGTCTTTTATGAAGCTCATGCGCTCCAAAGTCTTCTAGTAACTGTGCAGATGACTGATAATTAGGGTGTTTTTATGATTTCCTATTCTCCTTCAGCTGAAAGGGGTTAAAATGTTCATCTGGGAAGACATGCTAAGCAGTTGTTGGTAGCATCTCAATCATTTATAGTCAACATGACTGCTTGAAATGTAGGACAGCCCACAAACCTTGCATAAAAATAAGTGATTTATAGAAGGCTTTTATATTGGAAAGGCTTTTGAACAAGCCCAAGTGTGTGTATTGTGTATGTATGCGTTGTAACGTAACAGGCTTGGCTGTGTGTTTTCTGAAAATTTTAAGAAAACCCCATTCTGTTACTGTGTTCAGAAAGTTTGCAGCATTGCCATAAAATTGGACCAAAATCTGGTGAACTTTGACTTTTTGACTTACTGCGTACGTTTTTTTCTTACAGGTTCTCTAACATCAATGTTTGTCAGGCTTCCTTGCGGTGGTGTCGGGGTGAGTACTCTCTTTAATGTGTAAATAATGTCCTGTTTGTTCTCCCAGTCCCATTGGTAACAAAAATTGTTGCTTTGCATTCCATCAAGTGGGTAATTGCAACCAGATGTTACCCATAAACAGGGTCTGCCTGGGGTGCGGGGTTGCAGTGACAGCCTCACGTGCCTTTCTTCAAAAGCAGCGTGAAGATTTTTAAACTATTTTGGAGCGCCGAAGTGTGTGTGACATTCATAGGCATGTTTCGTCTCTGGCTTTTAGGAGGAGAAACTTCATTTCCCAGGCAGTGATGTTTAATGACTTAGAGGTTACTACATTTGAAAGCAACCCTTGAATCCAAAAATTCTTTCTACGTAGAAAGCAAGATGTGCTTTTCATGCTGCTGGTGCTGCCTAGGTGTTTCATCTTCAGTATTTGTACTTCAGAGCTGCTTGCCTCCTAGTGCAGGTGGAAAACATATTACTGAAATAGTGATGTTGGAGGACAATATTTGGGAAGTTCCTGTACGTAGTAAGTTGCTGTATTTGTGTCTGGGCTACATTACTGTCCTCGAATGAAGTGTATTGCGGGTTACGCAGCACAAGGGAATTGCAGCTTTCAGTATTTGGCATCTTGCGTTTCTCGAGCTCTGGGACAATCACGCGTGAATTCTGAAGGAGGTGACTAAAATACCCCTCCATCCGTCACAGAAAAGCTGAACATTAGTTTTCATCTGTCAAGATTCCATATAATAAAAAGACTTTTTTCTTGTTCTTGTTTGTTCCCATAAGGCTGAAAAAAATACCAAATACCATTCAAATACCTTGTGTTGAAGATTTGCATTGTTATTTTCCTTTGAAGCCTGAAAACTTGAAAGTTTTCCTTTCAAGTCAGACTTTCTGCTCTAAACTTTCTTTGGAGGGTGACAGTACAGAAAATCTCGGAGAACAGGAAGGGAGAAGAATGAGAAGAGACAATAAAAGGCATTGTGTTTGAAAATTCACAGTGGTAGTTCTTATGCATAATTGTAGCTCGTGAGGTTGAATTTAGAGGTCTGGATTCTGTTATGGAAATGAAACAAAATTGTTTTCTTCCTGAGTCTTTGCAAAATCGCTGCTTTGAAAATTATCCCGTCAAAAAAAAAAAAAAGAATAATCGGCGTTTATTCATACCGCCACCGCTGAGCACTCGTAGAGATATTTTATTTTGTATTGTAAATATGCTGCAGTCTCCTAATTCATGGCAAATTTTTGGCTAGAGTTTAAAAGGTTTGGATTTACTCTGCCCTCCAGTCAGGCATGCCATTCAAAGCAAAAATTATCATTTGCAAATGAAGACTGAATGGTAACAAGTAGAGACAGTGCCTGAGCCTAGCATGGTCCCAGAAGTCTTGCGTTAAATCCTAAATCAAGGCAGGAAACGCCACAGTGCTGGTATTATCGATACGCTCGTAATAAAGATAGCGTTTGCAGTTAACTTGCTGGTCGGTTGTCTCCACAGACCCTTAAATATTAAATAAAACATTTTCTGACTTTTGTACAGTGTTTTAGCAATCCCAACAGATATTTTCATGTTTTCTAGGAAAAGCTTTTTAAAAAACGGTAATTTACTAGTAATCAACTATGTGATAGTCAGATTTTTCATAAAAACGGATTTCTGTTGGTTTGCTTGATATTCCAGTTACCTTGGGATACAGTGGGGACTATTTGTGGACTTCTGCTGCTTTCATGGCCGATGCAGGAAAACACGGTCTTTGCTGCTTTTGGGATGCATTTCTAATTAGTGTATACACCCCAGACATATATTTGCAGGGAAAATGAGGCCACAGTACAGAACGATTAGCTATAGCATATTAAGTGCTTTGCACTTGTATGTGCTCTGGATAGGATTAAGCGTAGACCATCTCCTTTGGGGTAGGAGACGCATACGGTGATCTCGCGAGGTCCTTTCAGCCCCGCTTTCTACTGTCTTTTGAAGTGAGATTTGTCAAGAAAGCTGGCTTAGCAGCGTGGTATGTTTATTGAAGAAATGGAGGGAAAACTGGAGTCTTTGTTAGCGTGCCAGTTCTGTGAGACGAGTTGCTCTTGATTTGATTTGCTATGGGAAACGGTTGGAAGAAGCCCTATAGTGGGATCTTAGCTGGGGCCACAGAGCACGCCTTTCAGTAGCGGATGAAAACCAAATTATTTTCTGCACCAAAGAGAATGACAAGACATTTTTGAGATGCATGTAATTTTTTTTTTTCCCCCCCTGTGGAAATCAGAAAAAAAAGATTTTAAAAAATCAGAGCCTAGGGTAAAACATCAGTTATGAAGAATTTTCATGCAAGAGGAGGTGTAATGTAAATCTGAGCAGTTTCGGCATGTGAAGACTGCTGGGAGATTGAGTGCTTGTTATGGTATAATGAAATTATTTGAAATTGTTCTAGCATGAGAGCTTAAGGGGTGTTTTTTTGCTGTTGCTTGGCAGGCTATTTTCAGGCTGCAAGGTGGCCATATAGCTTTTTTGAGTGATGGATTTTTATTTAGACTCTCCCTTGTTCAAGATTGCCAGGTTGGCAGAACATTACTCATCGCTGAGCAGTAATCAGTCTCTGTTTTATCTTTTTCTTACAAGTTGAGAAGGTTGTGGAGAGGCAGCCCTGGTGCTGTAAGAAGTTTGTGGGGGCTCCAGTCAGTTCATATTGGTGAATATTTTCCTGATGGTGAAGGAACAGCAGGTGCATGTGATGATCAGAGCACCTGTAGGATATCATCTTGACTACCAATGATTTGTAGCCCAGGTTTGAAGGAGAAGGGATTTATTTCAGCAGAGGTTTTGTTTTCTCTGGCTTTGTCACTTAATGATAAGTGCAGTCTAGGGGATGCTTCATGGGTCTTTGCATTCAGCTCACCACGATGCTAGGCAGCTTTCCAGTTGGCTGACTGCTTCGTAAGGAGGGTTTTCCCTGGAGAGGTTGATACTGGTCTGCCAAATGCTTTCCAGGGGGCAAACATGATGCCATAAAGAAAAAAGGAAAGAAGTTTTTAATAATTAGTAGAATAAGGTGGGACTGGTCCTTTTTTGGATTTATCACTGGTTAGAAGATAGGAAATAGCGGTGAGAATTACAATCCCCAAGAAACGTGTGTATTCACTGAAATGTTGCAATGCAGGGGATGGGTCATAAGCAAGCGTCCTTTGCTGATGGTATTAAATGTATTTGGAGTCACCAAAGCGAAAGCTGCCTGCCAAGACGTACGGATGGTGTCATGATAATGAGAAACTAAATAGTAAAGTAGCATATGAAATTCAGTGTTGGATGCAAAATAATGCCTGTGGGCAGGAGGGGGACTGGTCTGCGAGCAGGTAAAAGCTGAATGATTGCTGTTCCTTATCATTCAGGAGCTGTGGGTGTCAGATGAAATTATGGGCTGGAAAGCTTGAAACCAAGTTCTTTTTCTGCAAACAATTAAATGCAGTTCTCGTCTGTAGGGGATGTTATGTAGATTAAAAGAATAGATGGATCTGAAAGGCGTCGTGGGCAGTTTATGGGGGAGAAGCCCATGAAGAGCTGTTAAGCGCCAGGATGAAGGATGAAGTCTGGCTCATGGGCAACCATGAGTTGTTCTTACCAGCAAGCGAGACAAAGTTGAAGAGTGAAGGAGCAGGAAAAAGTTTAGAGCAAATCGCTTCATCACATAACACCTTTTGATCTCTCTCTTTAAAAACTAAGTCACAGTGTCTCAAAATCAATGAGAAAAGGGTAAATTTGTTCCCTGGTGCTTGGAAACTCTTGTGGATTTTTTTTCCTCGTTGGTTTGTTTTATATGAGGAAGCCTTCACAGCGCTGTAGCTGATGCTAACAGACCTCCTCCCATCTGCAGACATCTGATCGTAGCGGGAAAGGAAGAAAGCACAGAAGCACTTATATCAACAGATGTGAGCTCTGATTTAAACAACAGTATTTTTTAGCAGCATCTGCAAGTGCAGTATGTGGTATTTTTACTTAGGACGTTACCTTCACTTCTCTGCAGCACACACTCTTTTCTTAATGTATGTCTTACATGCACCAGAGCATTACCTAATCCAGGATAATTAGAAGAAGATTTTGGAGAAAGGAGTTTGAGCTTTGAAAATCTGCAAAATAGTTCCAGCATACTTACATCCAAATTCTTCAGAACACTCAAAGACTTGATCTTACGATAGCTAATAACTTTGTTTTCTTTCGTGTGTAGTATTTTCTTTTTCTATGCACATTCTAAAAATATCTAAAGATCTAGGGCTTTAAAAAATGTTCTTAATGTTTCTGATCTCTTCCAGAATATGTTATTCTATTTTTGGTTGTAAGGTCTTGATTAGAGTGTATAAAAATCTTTACCTGTGCAAGCAAAGTACATTATCGCAGAGCAGAGACAACGAAAAGGACTTCCGTGGAATGTAAATGAGAAGAGACTAATTAGCAAGTCTTAGAAGAACAAAATGTGAGCACGGTTATTTAATCAGTGCTTTAGAGCAGTAGGAGACGCGGTTAGGTAAAGACGACTCGCTGGCAGCACAGACCGTGTGTGCTGCTGTCACCTAAGCGTGATGATGAGCAGTGATGAGGGACGAGCAGAACTCCTTCGTTCCCCTTCTCTTTGCAGAGGCTGGAGCTGCTGTGCAATTTGTCTCTACCTATCTACCATATCCCTATGCTTAATTTCTTACTTGCATAGCTCTTCAGCTAAAGAAAATATTAGAATAATGAAACCTTTTGTAAGACCCGCCTCATTTCATTTTTAAATAGCTGCTCGTTAGTATACAGCATAGTATACAGTGTAAGTAGGAACCTCATTATGTATATTAATAAAGACTTCAAGTTATAAGGAAGAAAAACTCTTTCAGGTTTAACCCTGAAATATCTTAGACATTCCTCGTAGAAGAGAGCCTGCGTCAGACTGTTGACCCTTCCTCTTCTGCATTCCCTCATCATTTTCTAATAACAGTACGTGCTGTGAAAGTTAAGAGCCTGCAGCAGGTCCCAGGCACTGAAGTCCATCTCCCCACCTCTAAAGGAGCCCTCTCCTACGGGCTCACCTGGCAGAAATGGCAGCTTCTTTATTTGGAATGAGCAAGGCATTAATATTATTCTCAAGAAGACGAGTGTGCTGACCAGGACAACCGCTCCTCATCCAACAGCAGCAGATGTGGAAGACTCAGTATCTCTGACGCAGTTGCATCCTCCAGCTCAGGAGAAAAAAGAGAAATATACGCTGTTGGATCAACAAAAGGCAAGAAATATGCTTCCTCTCTCTGTAAAGTCCTTCCAGATGGTAAGGCTTGATGTGCTGTCCCAGCAACAACTCCTGTGATGGCAGCTACATCAAAGAGCTCATAGGCAGGGAAAGCCAAATAGCGTCTCCCCTGTAATGAACTTCAGAATTCAGGAATGATGGAGGGGTCAACAGCAGCAGCAGCCCGTGCACCAAACAGCAGCAGCTTCAGAGCTGGAGAGCAGTCCAGCTCAGGGCCACATTAATAACATTTTCCACCATGGCAGAATCTACGCCCCCCTGCTGCAGAGCACTGATGGCTTCAGTGGGACTGTTCAAACACTTACAGTCACACAGATGATGAAGTGCTGCCTTGGAGTAGGGCCCAGTGGTCTCCAGACATCCGTTCCAGGGAAGGTGGCTGGGTGTTAAATCCTTATCTTGGAGATGTTTACGTGTGGGATGAGGCAGTGGACAGCTTGCGGGTGGCAGCAGACATCTCTGGATCCAGTCCTCCTCCTGCTGGGGAGCTGAGTGTGGGGGCATGGCAGTCCTTGAAACTGGCTTCTAAATCACAGGTGGAATACTCTTTTCTAAGTACTTAATTTCTTTCTGCAGAAATAATAACTCTTTAAAACCACTCTGTCTTGCCTTCCTCATTCTTCTTGAAATGCTGCCAACACGAGCCTGGTTTCTGCAGGCATCAAAGGGCCTGAACGTGATGGTGCTTTGCTCAGGCGCTGGTGACTTCTGCATGCTTTATGGGGAAGGCTGGCACGAACAGACGTCTGAGGAGATCCGAGGGTCTGTTGGTCTCTTAGGTAAAGCTATGCTTAGGACATCTGAATTTTGTTTTTTTGTATTTCCATTCCTCTGGTGCCTCACGGTGAATGAAGGTGGTCCTCTGCAATTCTGCATCCATGGAAGGGGCCTGGTACTTGCTGTGGCTGGGCAGAGAGGGAAGCTCTTAGCTACTGGTGTCCTTCAGCATTTTCTTTCAAGACCGAGAAAGACGGGTTAGATATGCTCAAAGATGGGTTAGATATGCTCAGCCCAGACTACATGGTGCAGCTATATCTCACTTGAGCAGTGAGACCGAGGGCACTAAGGTGGTCAGCTCTGAGCAAAAGGCGAGTAGACGTTCTCTGTTGTATAAACCATGAGTGTCTCCCACTCACAGATACTGCAGGGAGAGGATCTGAGAATGAAGACTGCTGATTCCCCGACGGAACGTAGCAGTGTCATCCTGATTGCAAAGCAGGTTGACCATCCCATAATGTTTTTACAGGATTGCTGATGAGGAGCCCGAAGACAGACCCTCGCAGAGTACTAATGCGCTGGTCAGTAGGGAGGAGAAGCAGCTTGGTCTTTTTCCCACCTTACTAGAGGCTTTTGGAGGGACATGGTCAGATCAGTCCCATCTCCTGCACGTGTGCAGTACTGATCCAGGACTCCTGGAGGTGTCGTGCATAACTCGGACCCCATCGTACTTCTGTTCTCATGTTACTGCCCAAGTTTATGGGGGCCCTGGGGAGCCCTCATGCCACAAATAGTCACTGTAGGGCTTTTCCACCGATGCAGCGGCTTTCCCCAGAGTGTGAGACAGCGCACAGATTGGCAGCATTACCGCACAGAGATGGCTTTTTGGTATTCTCCAAATGCTTTCTTGGTTTACTGTGACTTCAAAACCATCCTCCAGGCAGATGCTGCCAGAAGCCGTCCCTGATAACAGGCCTGGAACGATTTCCACTGGCTTTAGGACAGCCATGAAAGGAGGTGGATCAATCTCCTGTGGGGCGACTTGCATCTCCCCGCAGCTCAGTGAGCAGACTGCATGCCAGACAAAACAAATAATCTTTGTCTTTCCTTCTCCTTTGCCATTGTTTCCATAAATACACTCAACATAGAGTAATATGTGAAAAATAGCTGGTGATCCTTCACATGGAGAAATGTTATAATTATCCTATGATGTTCCCGGGCAGCCAAGCTGTCCTGACATGGGACAGTCCCAGCAGTCTGGCTTTTGCAAAGGCTGTGACTGGCAAGAAGCAAACAAGCTTGGCTTTCATCGCTGCGTGCAAGACAGCCCGGGGTGCAGCGGAGAAGATCCAGAGCTTTGGCCTGGAAACAGCCCCCTGGGAGCCGTCCTTCCCCCTCCGCTCTCCGCAGAGTCGCGCCTGAATGGCAGTAAAAAAAAAAGAACAGGCATTTCATCGCATGTCCGCAAACTAATCTTGTCTTTGTACGGTTTTGGGGATGAATGTGGTAAAAGCCAATGCTTCTCGCTTTTTGTTTAAATTAGGACATGATCTCGTATAATAACGACACGGGGATGTCTGCAGAATGCCTTGCCTTGCCTTTGGCCTATTTGCACATTTTCAGGGGGAAAATGTAGAGAATGCTGGTCCTGTCAGATATTTAGCGTTGAAGTAAATGTCTCCAGTCATCAGCTAGATGTGGAAGGTCTGTTGTTAGCTTTGATGAGGCAGGGTTGATCTTACGGTTCCCCAGGGAAGCTGCTGTCAGCGTAACCTTATCCTGGCAGTCCTGGGCAGGCATCTTTTAAACGTCCATTATTGAACATCCTTCTTGATTGTGGGTTTTTTTTGTTGGTGGTTTGTTTTTTTTTAATTTTATGGAATCGTTGAATGATTTTGTAAACCTTTTTATTTCATCTGGGATCAGTTTCCTCCAGCAATTAAAAAGAAATACTGATATCGTGGTGTTGGTAGGAGTATTGGTAGGAGACACCTGCAAATTTACAGTGCTTGAGATGCTGAATTTGCTCCTCTGTTACAACACTGACCCTTTAGCATTGCAGAGTTGTTGTTGCAAATGATCCTCTCTTGAGTGTCGTTTGGTTGGATGGACACTCGGTAGTGGTGATGTTAGTCATCAGTGGGGTCCCAGCCCTGGTACTGCCAAGATCAGTTCTGCAATTTAATGCATTTAAAATCAATGCATTTAAATTTAATGCATTTAATGCATTTAAATTTAATGCATTTAATACATTTATGCATTTAATACGTATGAATAACTTCTTTACAAAAACGTGGGTCTCTCTTTCCTGGCTGTCCTCGTTGCTCCTAAACATGGCTCCTGTGTGTCTCCATTAGGTCGACAGCGACACAATTTGGAATGAAGTTCACTCGTCCGGCGCTGCTCGCCTGGCCGTGGGCTGTGTCATTGAGCTCGTTTTCAAAGTAGCCACAGGAGAACTGAAGGTTGGTATGAAAATAACACTTGGCTTTGATATAGGCTCTGTACAGGACTCTGCTCAGGGCTGTGTTATGCAGGAGGTCCAGTTAGCTTCATTTTAATGGCACCATCTGGCTTTAGTCATAAAAATCTTTGAGGATATCAGCAAGTGAACAACAGACTCCTGATGAATGTTCTTACGCACTGATTAAAAGGAAGAAAGAAACCAGAGCAGCAAATGAAATCACTATTCCAGTGTTATCTGAGGGTCTTGCTGTTGCCTTCAGCTGGGCCAACCCGTTTGCTGTTTCAGTGACCTCATGCGGAATTTTTTTTTTTTTCCCCTGAATGGAAGGAAATGCTGTACCAACCAGTTTCCACAAAATTCATGCGGACTTTTTCCCCCACTCCAAAACGAGGGAGAGTGTCATCCACTGCTATGATCTTGTGAGAAAACCATCAAGAACAACTACGTAGTTCCAAAGCAGAATTAACGCTTCTGACTGCAACCTCTGCATCTGTCTTTGTGCAATAAACCTTCCTTTCTGTTTCACTTCTTCATTTTCTTATTTTTTGTGTGTAGAATGGATTTGCTGTTGTTCGGCCTCCAGGTCACCACGCAGAAGAGAGCACACCCATGTAAGTATGCGTATGTGCTTTACCAATTTGCTTCAGTGTTCGTCTGTTGTGTGATCAGCAGCTGGAAATTAGAAAGGTAGTTTGTTAGTTTCGTCTTGGAGAATTTCTTGCTTATTGATATGCAAGCGAGTATTGTATTCAAAGCTCCCGGTAATTCTCTGGAAGAGGGCAAGATCCTGCTTGGTGGTTTCGGGTGGGTATTTTTATTTTTTAGCAAGAATCAGCATTACAGTCGTGCTTTGAAAAAGCACTGATGCTTTTATTTGCTTTACTCTTATGAATTGTTTTAAATTGATTGTCCAATGTGAGGAAAGCAAGGCTACGCAACTAATAGTAGTAATAGCAAGCATAACTGTGTCCTGGGGTCACAACACTGAATTAGGAGAGTGTCAGAATGGGAAGGCTTTGCAAAGCAAAAGCTGAAGTCGGGCATTTTGCATGTGTTTAATATAGCAGGGGTTTTGCCGTCGGGCTGTTTTCAGATCAGGGTCCTGTGCATAAATCATGTTGGCTTTGTGTATCTGGCTTAATGTGTGCTGAAGTTTCGTGTCTTGGGTGCTTCAGCACTTTTTGGTGGGAGATTGAATCATAGACTCGTTTAGGTTGGAAAAGACCTTTAAGATCATCGAGTCCAACCGTTAACCTAGCACTGCCAAGTCTACCACTAAACCATGTCCCTAAGCACCACATCTACACGTCTTTTAATCCGGGTATGGCGACCCCATCCCTTCCCTGGCCAGCCTGTTCCAAGGCTTGACAACCCTTTCGGTGAAGAAATTTTTCCTAATGTGCAATCTAAACCTCCCCTGACGCAACTTGAGGCCATTTCCTCTTGTCCTGTGCTTGTTACTTGGGAGAAGAGACCGACCCCCACCTCGCTACAACCTCCTTTCAGGTAGTTGTAGAGCATGATGAGGTCTCCCCTCAGCCTCGTCTTCTCCAGGCTAAACAGTCCCAGTTCCCTCAGCCGCTCCTCATAAGACTTGTTCTCCAGACCCTTCACCAGCTTCGCTGCCCTTCTCTGGACACACTTCAGCACCTCGGTGTCTTTCTTATAGTGGGGGACCCAAAACTGAACACAGTATT